TCTGGTTTTGTCATTGAATATCTTGTTCTCTCCATCTATATTGACTGAGAGTTTTGCTGGATATAGTAGCCTAGGCTGGCATCCGTGTTCTCTTAATACTTTTAGAACATCTATCCAGGACCTTCTGGCCTTGAGGGTTTCCATGGAGAAGTCAGGTGTAATTTTGATAGGTCTGCCTTTATATGTTACCTGTCCTTTTTCCTTCGCTGCTCTTAATATTTTTTCTTTATTCTGTATGCTAGGTGTTTTGATTATTATATGTCGAGGGGTCTTTTTTCTTTGGTCCAGCCTATTTGGGGTTCGGTATGCTTCTTGTACTTTCATGGGCATGTCCTTCTTCAGATTTGGAAAGTTTTCCTCGATGATTTTGTTGAATATGTTTTCAGCACCTTTGAGCTGGGCTTCCTCACCTTCCTCTATGCCTATTATTCTTAGGTTTGGCCTTTTCATGGTGTCCCACATTTCCTGGATATTGTGTGTTAAGGATTTGTTGGATTTATGGTTTTCTTTGGTCGATGAATCTATTTCTTCTAGTTTATCTTCTGCGCCTGAGATTCTCTCTTCCATCTCTTGAATTCTATTGGTTATGCTTGTGTCCGTGGTTTCCGATTTTTTGCCCAGCTTTTCAATTTCCAGCTTTCCTTCCATTTGTGATGCCTTTATTTTCTCAATTTCGGTTTTCAAATCTTGAACCGTTTCCTTCACCTGGTTAATTGTTTTTTCTTGGCTTTCTGTACTTTCCTTAAGGAATTTGTTCATTTCTTCCACTTTTTTGTTTGTTTTTTCCTCTATTTCTTTAAGGGATTTTCTCATATCTTCTTTGAGGGCCTCTATCATTTTTATGATGGTGATTTTTAAGTCATACCCTTCTGCTTCCTCTGCTTTGTTGTTGTGTTCCATTCTAGTTGGTGTAGATTCCCTAGATTCTGGTGGTGTCATGTTTGTCTTTCTGTTGTTAGGTGTTCTCTTGTATTGCCTTCTTCCCATAGCTTCTTCCTGTAGGTGTTGGTGGTGTCTCTTCCCTCTCTCTATGGTCCTTCCCAGATGGGCTTATGTGGATCAAAGATTCAATGTCTGTATCTCTGTGTGGTCCAAGCTCTCTAGGAGGCTTCTCTCTGGCCAATAGCCGGGAGAAGAGGACGAGGGCTGGACTGGAACTTGAGAAGTTTTTGCAGGGTAGTGGGATCTCACTGGAAACTGGCGCTCTCCAGCTGAGACCTCGTTCTTTGGCAGGGCCCGGATTTGGGGGTCAAGGATCTTGCCTGCAGGAACTCCAAGTGGACCTGCAGAGATAGGCGGATCTCTGGGAGGGGCCTGGGACTCCAGCAGAGGACTGGAGGCGGGGTCAGGGACCAAGCCAGTGGAAATTACAGGTGGTCCCACGTGGATAGTCAGGTCTCCTTTGTTCGGAGTTGCTCCGAGAGGTCTCCGAAGTAGGGTGGACTGTTGGCTCCACCCTCTGTCCCAGTGCTCAACCAGAGCAGCAGGACCGTAGGTGGGGTAGGGCACAGGGTAGGGGGGGTAGGCTGGAGGTTGGGATGGGTGGGGGTGTATCAGAGCTCCAAGGGTGCTCTCAAAGGGGACCGGAGACAGGAGCAGCAGGATCAGGGGCCAATCCAGGGAGTTCAGGCGGGGGAGGGGGGAAAGAGGTTGAAGGGGACAGGCAGCCCCGATTGGGCCCAGACTCACCTCTGGCCAATAGCCGGCAGAAGAGGACGAGGGCTGGGCTGGAACTTGAGAAGGTTTTGCAGGGTAGTGGGATCTCACTGGAAACTGGCCCCAAGTTTCTTTCATTATGTATGGCTAACACTTCCACATGTTTTAAACATTAGACTATGGTATCTTGAGGGGGAGGGGACACCATCATTTATCTAGTGTATATCTAATATACATACTTTATATTTAATATTACCTATGGTATATTTAAGTGGTTTCCTTTTTAAAGTAAACTGAAATGAGACATAGTTTCAAACAATGTACACATTTTAAATTATAATATAGGGATCATGACAAATAGATCATTATTCATGTATAAAACTCTCACATGGAGAAACTAAACATGAACAGTATCCCATACGCACCCCGGTGCTGTCTCCTTATTCTCATCCCCTTCACTGACATGTCAGGCAGCTTCTACGTCCTAACCCCAAAGATTAAAATAGTTGGTCAGGAACTTTACAAAAGACAAATCACAAAATTTGGTCTCTGTGGTTTGCTTAAAATTTTTTACTTTATTATGTGGATGTATATATCTGTGTGTGAGTATGTGTACTTGAGTACCAGCATGGGGGGGTGCAGAGAGATTGGATCCCCTTGGAGCTGGCGTTCCATCCAGTTAGGAAAGACTGGCATGGATGCAGGAAATCAAACTTGGATCCCCTGTTAGAGTAGCTCATGCTCATAGCAGCTGATCTGCCTCCATGTCTAGGTTTTCCTCTCAACACAATCTGTCTGTTTGTCTGGCTTTCTTCTTCATCATAATCATCATCATCATCAACCTAATGCAATATTTTATAAAGACTCCCCATGAAGTATGTCTGATGTCTTTCCCCCAACATTATCTGTAGGAGTGCTATCCATGCTGTCCTTTATACTTGTTTTTCTCATTGCTGTCCATCATCCCATTAGATGAATATACCACAGCTTATATTCCCAGATGCTTAACATGACCAGTGACTTATGAATTATACTGCCATGAACTTTTGTGGGCATACTTCCTGGTAAAGACACATACTCCCTTATGCTGAGTGGACCACTTAGTATGCCTGTGCCCACCCCTGAAAGATACTGGCAAAGAGTAACCCCGGAGGCAGGATGATTGGTCTAATTGTTGTACATCTTTGCCAGCACCTGGCGTTGCCTGTTTTTTTCATTGTCTTTCTCTTACTGAATGTGTATTGGTGGTTTTATTTTGCACTTCACTGGAGACTAACGATGCTGATTAATTTTCACATGTGCATTATTCATCCAGATGTCCTCATGTGGACCTTGACGTGTTGTAGCTTCTTTGAAGAAATCCAAGCCTACTTGAATTTTAATTTTACTGTATTGTATGTCAAGTTGTCATAAGTGCACAGATGGTTTGTAGCCTGTTTTTCAGTCTCATCTGTTTACTTGCACCTGTCTAAATACTGCTTCATAACAAATAGATGCAGCTTGCTTTAAAGTCAATCCAGTTCAGAAAAATCCCATGGGGCTTATTGGTTAGGATTTCCAGATCTGTGCTTTCCACTCTCTTGATTTCTTCAGAGGAAGAGGAGGCGAGGAGGAGGAGGAGGTGGGTGGGAGAGAAGAGAAGAGAAGAGAGAAAGAGAAAGTGGAAGAGGAGGAGGAAGAGGAGGAGGAAGAGAAGGAGGAGAGGGAACCTTGCTTCATAAGTTGGCAGTAGGATTGGCACGTATAGTACAGCCTTCTGTCTCCTCTTTTCTCTGGATGCAGCCTCTTGCAGGTGCAGGTACATTTCATCCTTGTACCAAATGTTACAGGTTTTTAATCAGTAAAAGCAGTTAGTCTGTGTAATTCCAGTGCATACACTTAGCCTATTATCCCCACATGCCTGGTCATCCTTTCCACCAACTGTCAATGACAACATTCATCTTTAGTATTCAGTGTGCTTAGTTCTTTTTGAACTGATTCAGAACTTCTATAGAGAAGCATTTGTGCTACTTCCTGGGCCCCCAGAAGCCAATGTGGCACTCTGCATTTCATAATATAAATAAGCATTTGCTTATGTCCTTTTGGAATGACTCCAGGCTCTTTGATGCAATTACTTTACCTTTCATCTTTGCTCACTGCTAAGAAATAATACGATGTAAGAGCAAGGTTGTTTTCCAGATCTGTCATATGGCTATAATCAACTGCTTATCTTGTCTTCCATGATAAATATATTTATTAAATGGGTATAGTAATGCTTACTTCACTATTTTATTTTTAAATTTTATTGCAAGCATGAAATAAACCATTGCACATTACAGTGATTTAATAGTGACTAGTGTCTACGAAATCCTCATTAAATGGTAGCCAGCACTGCTGCTGCTACTTCCCCAGCATTTAAAACCATTCCAGGGACATAGTGAATGTCAGGTAATTGCATTAGTTCCAGTGGGTTACACTGATATGAGATGATGCAGCCTCTGGGACTCTTGCTTTGTTCCCAAACTCTTGTTGGATTAGCAACCAGGTGTTTTCTATCTCCAGCTTGTAGTCTGTGGGATCTAGATGTTGCAGAAGCAAAGGTTTATCCATTTCCAATAACTGCTATCCATATTTTTACTATTATATCCATTGCTATTTCATTGTTCCTGCAGAAGAACAGTAATGCTCTCTATAGAGTATGAAGATCACAGAGCTTGAGCTCTGGCACTCTTTTTCCCACCATTGTTTTGAGTATGGAATAGCATCAGCAGCCTGTTACAATCTGACCGTTAGGGCTCAGTGTGCCAGGATTTGTCTTCCTGTGTAGTAACTTAGCTGCTGGAAGGAGGCATATGTTGGTTTTGGTCAGTGATGCTGCAGCTCTGGGCTATCGCTGCCTCTGTCATCATACTCCCCTTAATGTTTATCGGCAGGAAACTGCCCATCCTACCATCTCACAGGGACAAGAATTGTTCCTGTGAGTTTATTGGCAAAACCGCTTAGGCTGTTCATAATTGCAGGTGCTAAGAAACTAAGTGCTATGCTAGGAGGAAGGCAGGAGGAAGGGGTTAGAAATGGCTTTGAGCTGGCGTTCAGGCTCGGGTCTGCAACTCCAGTGCATGTCAGGCCAGCATCGACTGTGTAGGAAGGGTGTAACAGCAAAGGGAAGAAAAGGGAATAGGGGAGATGCCAGTGTGACTCAAGGTGCTATGTCTTTTGTGTCTTTACATATTCACACTCTGAATTTTAAATTTCAGTTTTAATCTGTACCATTTCAAAATATTTCCATAGCCCTTTGGTGCACTTGTCATTTCTGTCGATTGCGATTGCTCTAACACAATGACTTAGAAAATGTATTTTGACAGGATAAGAACTACCTCCACATTAACAGAGAATGACCTTGCTCAGAAAGTAGAATTTGATGGAAGGATCTTATCAAGGTAATTGCCACTTTATCAATTTTCTTAACTTCTGTGATTATAATAATATATTCTCTTCCTTCATAGAAATGTCAAGATTAGGTACATTTATACTAAAACGGAAAAAAAATGTGAATTTTTGGGTTCTAAAATTTAAGCAATAGCTATTAATGTTACATATAATAGGACACTGTAATATAAATATTTTAATTAAGAGTATTTAATAATTTATCATAAGTCTTTTCAAAAGATTGGATAATTCAGTGTATTACTAATAGATGTTTCTAAACCATTTAGAAGTTAATTTTTATGTCGGATGGTTAGTTTAGTTTAGTTTTTTTTTAATAGTTTGAGTTAACAGATTATTGATAGAGCCAATGACAAGGAAGATAGCCTTTAATTTTTTTACCTCAATCTTGTAAAATCTGCAAGTTCAGCATTTTAAAGTCTGCTTTATCTTAAGTCCCTGTCGCTTAGCAACCTGCATTGTAACAGAGCTAGACACTCACCATTATTAAGCTTATGCCTTTTTCATCCAAATCTAACTCAATTGGGGCTTTCCCCCAAGCTGTAGTGTACTTCCCATCAACCCGTGTGGCCCTTAAGTCACTGGCACACATTCAAGGGACTTACGTTATTTCCACTTAAGATATACAATCTTAGTTTATCATTTAATTTAAAAATCACTGTATTTTAAAGTCATTGTCATTGTTTTGCTAGAAATGGACGTGATGCCTGCAGAGAACTGATTGGGTTTTTCTTTACCCATGACCAATCCCTAACCGTGTATGAATATCGAAAGTTCGGGAAAAACAGGTAGTTCTGAAACACTGTAAGTGCACTAGAGAATTGCTTCTGAGAGGAACTGGATGACTTCATTTTATTGTTGCTGTTTAACTTCTAGAACAAATGTGCTCCCTTTTATTAAAAAAGGCACTTACAGTCATCAGTGTGGACAAAGAAAAGGAAAGCGGTACCGGCTTGGTGACTTCTATACGGTAAGCGTGTGTGTATGTGTGTGTGTGTGTGTGTGTGTGTGTGTGTGTGTGTGTGTGTGTGTGTGTGCTAGTACTTAATGCCTTGTCTGGGACTATGTGCATCTCTCTGGCATGGAACTAGAGTACGGGTCTAGTTTATTTTCCTGAGAAGAGGCATTTGTGTGAAAGGCGAATGGTCGATGTTTTCTGAGAAGGTTCTGCCTCCCAGATAAATCCCAGTCATAATCTTAAGCATAGCCCTTATTTCCATAAACATCCACACACTGTTCCTTTATGGAGACTGTTGCCAAATGAGAGCTGGGCTCTTGGTACTTTTGAAGCTCTCTCTAGAAGGCCTGTTCTGGGGAGGTGGCTACCTCAGCAGCACTGGGAGCAATACATCACCTAAGGAGGTACTTGATTTTCTCTGTAGCGTGGCACTGTCCTCTGGAGCTGTGACTATGATAGCCTTTATTCTTGTGACTCTCCCGTATTTCCCAGTGTGCTGAATTTTTAAGTCATTACATTCACATACGATCACAATGAAACAATCTCTGTGCCAACCATTCATACAATATTCATATATGTTCCCATTCTAAACATTGGAGAGAGAATACTGAGGAAGTTAGAACCAGCTTTGCTTTGTGACAATTGGAGTATAATCGGACTCAGTTAGGTGGGAGCCAGATGGGTGAAACAGTGGACCTAATTGTATACACTCTAAGAGTTCCTAGAGAAAGTTCCATCGAAGGTGAATTAAGGAGTAGGTGAGAGTACGGAAAAGGCTTCAAGGTGGAGAGGAAGATGTGCAAAGGACAAAAGCAAGACAGTACATGGATTATATGGAACAGTGAAAGTAGGTCAGTTTGGTTGGAATAGAGATATAGAGTATGGATGGCTGAAAATATACTTGGGTCGGAGATGGGTTAGTTGGTGGAGTGTTCATTCTTGCAAGCAGGAGGACCTGGGTTTGAATTCCAGACTTGTGTTAAAAATTCAGGACTTGATAGCACACACTTCTAATTTCAGTGATGGGGTGACAAGGACGGGTCAAACTTAGATTTATGGGCTGGACACAGCTGAGTCTGCCTGGTGAGTTCTGGACTAGAGGGAGACCTGGTCTTATTAAAAAAAAATAAAGGTGGATAGCACATATGGTATGATACCTAAGGATGTCCTCTGACTTCCACACACAGTACCCATACTCTCCTCACTCATCCAACTAAATAAAAAAGTAGTGTGATATTAAAGAGTAATATATCAGGTAGTCACTGAAAAGATGTTGATAGAATGGAGAGGCTATATAACCAGACTTGTAATTTAGAGTTAGCTCTCCGATTTGAATGTGTGGGATGAGTTGAAGACCAGGCACATATGGTAGGCACAGACTGGAAGGTAATCTAGCAGAGAACTCATGATAAGTGTGTGTTTGTGTGTGTTCAAGTCTTGAGTTTTTTACACGGATACTGGAATTTTCCCCTTCCCTCCTGCTTGCAAGATTAAATACTGCCAATTGAGCCATCTCTCCAGCCCATCTATTTTCTTTCATCTCTACTCTATGTCTATATTCCAAGCAGAAATAGTATCCTTGACAAGCAAGTGGCAATGGCTACAAATCCTTAGGGGACACAACCACTAAGATATGATGACCAAGTCAGGAAGGAGTGAAGGAGGAAGAAACGCTAGACATCTCAATATTGGGTTAAATGCACCAGGCCCATGACCTCCATGATGTCTACAGCAAGTCAGTTCGAAGTCCTCCTGTGCAATCTGAAGATAACCTTCTGACTGTCTGTTGAAGGCGACAGTGACTAACATCCCTGAGCTGTCGCAATTCAGTGTAGTTGCAGATCTACACTTACCCTCCCACTCCATATGAAGCAAATGTGGGAATGCAGTTCCCTCTTTACCCTGGTAAAGGGAGGAAGAAAGAGAGCAGAAAGGAGTCAGGAATGGAGAAAGGGAGGCAAAGAGGCAAGAAGGAAGGGAGGGAAGGAGCAAGCATCAGTCTCACTTTGTGTTTATGGCACACAGTTTGAAAGGTTACCTCAGCAGCTTTATATACAACAGCAGGGTTTGAGTGTTGTCTCTCCCTTGATATTCACCTTTGGTAGAATGGTTTCTCTTCCCGGTGAAAGACTTTTCTTGGTCATAAAGGTAACAATAGACATCTAATTTTCAAAAAAAAAGTTATATGAACCCCAAAGGGAGAAGAAAGTGCCTCATCACAGTCACTAAGTTTCTAAAATAACTATTTCACAAAGGAGGAAGGGGAAGCACTTCCCTTATTTTTCTTCCCCCATTTTTCCTCATAAGAAGAAGGAAGCCTCTTTTTATTGAGTTTGTATTAGTCCTTACGTTGGTCACACGTGAAATTAGAATAGTAATTCTGTGGATTGGGTTAAGAATTTTTGGTTGGAATTTTGTCATTGAAACTTTGATGCTCTCATTAGGTGGAAAATATGGTTTTGTAGCTTTGTGATGTCTACCATCCAAAGACCAGGAGAAAGAGTATGCCCAATCTACCAGCGTTTCCCTATTCCACAAGGCATCTTTCTGTGAAACAAGAGCTCTAGTTCTGAATTTGGGGATTGTATTAATTTTCCCCCCTTCTGTTACTGTGATAAAATATCATGACAAAATCAATAGAAGGGAGGAAAGCTGTACTTGGCTCACAATTCCAGGTTACAGTCATCATCACAGGAAAGTCCAAGGAGACAGGAAATTGAAGCAACATGTCTTGTCACATCCACAGCCAAGAGCAGAGAGCAATGAACTAATGCAAGTGTGCTAGTGTCCACCTTGTTGTCTCCAGTCCCAGACATTCCAGGATCCCCTGTGCAGGGAATGACGCCACCCACAGTGGATGGATGAGTCTTCCCAACTCAACGTTATAAAGACAGCCCTCCCATGCTCACTGGTCAGTCTAATATAGACAGTCCTGTAACATGAATTCTAACAGGTCTTAATAATAAAAGCCTGGAGTCAGTTATAGGGGAACATGCTGAGAGATCAGAGAGATGAAGGAGCAAAACCACAGCCATCTTACCTACTCAACTTCCTAGTGAGCTCCTCTCTTTTCACACCTTACCACTTCCTCTCTCCACCCAGCCATATCACTTCCTGTCTGCCTGTACAGATCTCCAGACCTCTATGGTTAACCAATAGCTAGCTATGCCCTCTGATCTTCAGGCAATCTTTATTTGTACAAACAAGATGTTGCCACACAGTCCCCCATTGATACTCCTTCCCCAGATGACTCTGCATTATGTCACGTTGACAAAACTAACCACTATAGGGATGGCTATGCATTAAGTAGAACTCATGTCATATTTCCTGTGGTTCTTATTTAATATACAAATTCTCCTTTATTCATGTGGATTATTGTATAGAAGTGTACCGTGTTAGGTTTGTCTTTTGAAATTAGCTCATTTCTCTGGGTCCATGTGGTCCCTAAATATTTTTCAGATCTACTATATTTTGGGCACTATTAGAATATCCTAAGGCACTATAATAAAAATCAAATCTCTTCAACCAGCATGAGTTGGATTTTAGCTTTGAATACCTTCTAGCTTTCAAAAGTCTGTCTGTTCATTTCCTCAGGGTGCAACTTTGACATTTTTGAGCTGCGATCATCCTAGCCTTCCAAAGAGCATAAAAGAAAATACATTGTTTAGACTTCGAATTACAAATATCGATCAAATAGCGTTGAGTTCTCTGAAGTAAGTCAAATGCATTTGTTATTTTGAAAATAAGTGAAATCGCTGTAGTTTTTATCTTAAAAGGAGATTCTATCACAGGGCTGCATATAGTTACTTAAGTTCCGTATCATAATCAAACTCACTTCTTGTTTGAGGACAGTTGTGGCAATTAAATTAAGTTAATTAAATTTAAAATTGTTCTATTTTATAATAAGCATAATTCATTTGTTTTTGCTATTTTACTAAATGCCATCAAAGTGGTGCTCTACAAGACAGGTACCAGTTCATCTTTGTAACTGTTTCCTACATTGTTGGTGTGATGCCTTTTATCACATGAAAAGCCATTGTTTCTATGGTGATGCTATTCATTGATTGACTACATAGTGAAAATGCTATGAATAAACAATGACATCAAGGGTTATTTTAAATAATAGAAATAACACACTCTTCTTGTTGAATCTTTTTGACCCTAATTGTGATTAAAATAATAATTGATGTTTTGTATATATAAGGAACACAGTCTACAATCTAGCTGTAAGAGTATTCGGTATTTATTATTGTACTTTTGGGGCTTTAAAAGCATTTTTCTAGTTTATAATTTGCAAGCTACAACTGCTTTTAAAAATGAATAGTTACAATTAAGTATTTAAAAACATTAAAGCAGTTATAAAAGTTAATATCTTCAAAGAGTGTGGTCCTTTTAGAGTGTTTACTTAATTCTCCATAAAATCAAAAGCAGTGGGCAGAGGTAGGGATTGCTTTGGCTTATACCGCTCCATGTCTGCCGACAGCATCTTTAAGCCTGGAGTGGGGAAGCATGGCTTAGAACCCCTGTTCTCACTTGCAGAACTGCCTCTGAGGAACACGAGAAGGACACAGTCAGTCGGGAGGCACAGGATTTGCTGGTGCTACGGGCCGTTCAGGGTATGTTGTGATTTTTCTCCGCTCAAGTACTATTTATAGTTTTCAACTAGCTTCCTTGTTATCAGTTAAAACAGTATTTTTGATACTTCCAGGTTTTATAGACTTTGATTTATAATTCTTGTGTTTTAGAATGTACAAATATATTTTCTAAAAGTAGCATATATTTTTATAATATGATATATATATATACATATATATGTATATATAGTAATATTTTTATGGGGCTGGACAGATGACTAAGCAAATAGAATATCTTGCTGCTATTCCAGGGGACCTGAGTTTGGCTCACAACACCTACACTGAATAGCTCACAACCCTCTGTGATTGCACCTATGGGGAATCTTATGATCATGCCCTCCTTTGGTCTCTATGATCACCCATAAGCATGTGTGCCTGTACACACACACACACACACACACACACACACACACACACACACAACTATATATATATATATATGTATATATATATGCATAGTTAATAAAGTAGCTGTCAACATACAATTATATACATAAGTAAAAAATAATTATTGAAGTATTTTTATGATTTTTCTGTATTAATGGTACTAAGGAAAACACATGAATGATAACAATAATTTTAGAAATATTAGATACTATGGGTTTTAATTATAAGCCAAATAAAGTATGAAACTGAATTTTAAAAAGTTTTAAATATATTTATTTATTTTTATATCTGTGTTTCTGTGTGTGGACACCTGTGATACAGCATATGAGTGAGGTAAGATGACAACTTGGAGGAGTCAGTTATTGCCTGGAACTCAAACTCAGGTCATCAGGATTGGTGGCAGATACCTTTATCCACTGACCTATGTCATTGGATGATGGTGTGTGTATATATACATATACATACATGATATACATACACACAAATATATACAGAAGCACACACACATTCATATATATATATGTATGGAGAGAGAGAGAGAGAGAGAGAGAGAGAGAGAGAGAGAGAGAGAGAGGCTCACATTGTAGCTCAGGTGGATTGGTGATAACTGCATACCAGGCTGGCCTGAAACTCATGGCAATCAATCCTCTTACTTTTGCTCCACAGTTTTTGGATTACAGGCGTGAACCACCATATACCTGTTTTATGCCCAGATGGCATCCTGAAGGCACTCCTGGTTTAGTGCTTGGCTGTATGTCTCCCGCTCATGTTCTATCATGTGTTCTGATGTCTGTGAACAAATTCTGCTATTTAACAGACATGCAACTTTGTGTCGATTCTTGGCAACTATTCCTTCACCTCTATGTGAGAATGTGAGGGCAATGTCTCCTTAACTTCTGCTGGGAATCCATAGGGAGCAAAGGAGATGTGGGTAGGTGTAGGGCACTAAACATTTTTACAAATTTCTAAGGACTTGTCTCAACTACTGCAGTATGCTAGCTATAATAGACAATACATTTGCTTGACTTCATAGTAGAAGGGAGAAAGGAATAAAATAATCAAGAAGTCAATATATACTTCTAGAATTTAGATGAGTCCTGAGATATTATTCAAGATAAGACATTCACATTAAGAGGAAGCAGTTCCAGATTGTACAAGGCAGAGAGACACAGAGAGAGAGACAGAGAGAGAGAGAGAGACACACACACACACAGAGACTTGATGAGACTGGGTTTAGAAAATCCTCCGTGCCCTTGTTAGTAGTGTTCTTTTTCTCCCTGCTGTCATAGCCAATAATTTTTTATCCCTAACGAAGCTGGTGACATTTATTTTTTTTATAATATGTTCATTTTAATATGATACAGAAGACATCAATGAAATAACTGTGCTATATGGAGAATTTAGGAGCCAGAGTATATAACCTCTAAGAATTTCTGGAAAAAATTGTTACTGTGAATATGTACATTTAGGCTAGTACTCCAAAACCTAGATGCCATTTGGCTGACTATGATCCAGTTTGAAACTATTAAACTACTTAAAAATTTCTTAACTGATTTGTGTGTGTGTGTGTGTGTGTGTGTGTGTGTGTGTTTGTGTGGCATCAATTTTTGTAATTCAGTTAGTGTAAATAAAGAAATAAAAAAGACAGTGAAGATATGAAACAGTTAGAAAAAGGGGTCTAAACAAGAAAACCCAGGATTTTATTTGTAACACTTAGATTATTCTGAGTAAAGAAAAACATTATTTTCCTGTATGTAACATGTAACACTTTCACCACACAGTGGTGCTGTAGTTCTGGCATGCCCTTGTCTTCACTAACAAATGCTCTGCCTTCCAAAGGCTTTTTTGTTGGCTCAATGCATATTTTCACTGAATATTCATGCCCCTTATTTTCATTATTATCAACTTATTTTCTCCAAAGAGAAACAATTGCATTTTGATAGCTTTCGTGCACAGAAGCACTTAATTTCCATGACTCTCTTTATTAAACAGATAAACTAAAAGAACAACTCCACAAGAGAGGTGTTCGGATTTTGACTGGATTGGGAAAATACTTTCAGCATTTAGACAAGGATGGAAGTGGGCTGTTGGAGAAGGCAGACTTTCAGCGAGCTCTGAAAGCTGTTGGCTTAGAAGTGTCTGAACAGGTATGTACCATGCACACTGCGAGTGTATTCTTGCATGGCCTTGTTTACTTCTTTAATGAAATTTCATTAGCTCATTTGTTTCCCCTTTAAGGCCTTGTCATCAGCTGTAAGCCACCAGGCAACAAATCCCATTGATTTTTTTTTTTTTTTTTTTAGAATTTTGATGTTTATTCCTTTATCCTTTGCTTGTGAAGTGTTTAATAGCCAGGCATGTGCTAACCTCTGAGGTGACATACTCTTCACTCCTGTAATCTTTAAACGAAGAAAATGGTTAATATAATCATCAAATAGAGTATGCTTTGAGAGCACGTGTGGTGTGGTACTCAGTTCCAAGCCAAGCCAGCAGAAAGGAGAGGGGAGACCATGGGAATACTGTGGGAGGAGGATGCTTCCAGGTTGGGTTTTGGGTAATGAGGAAGAATGAACTGGACAAGGGTAGAGAAGGGCGGAGGCAGTCAGTAGATCTTCCAGAAAGAGGGGAGCATGGCTCTGACAATGGTCATTTCATGGAAAGGATAAGCATGTTCCAGGCAGAAATTGTGGCTCTGCCCCATGCACACCCTTCACTCTCATGGCAATGATCTTGCACTGGGTCTGTGTGTTCTAGATTTTTCTCCTCAGCATTTAGGCCACAGCTTTCTTTACAGAGGAGCTTTGCCATCTGGTTTCCAATCCGTTCTACATCAACTTCCATTTTGTTTTCTTCACGGTACTTTGTATCTGCCTGTAATTAAATGGCACATCCTACTCAACTGGGGACCAGGGGATTTCAGCTCCTGCTCTTTCTTTAGCATCTTCAACTGAATCTGGCATAGCAAGCATGAACCAATAGTTCATAGCTTGAGCAAGTAGATAGAAGAGTAGGAGAAATTAAATCTGGTATGTGAAAGCCTCGTGTTCTGTACTGGGAAATTTTGCTTGTATGCTAAAAGTACACAAACGATTCAGATCAAATATTTCATATGCAGGAGTCTTTTGCATTTTCTCTTTTGCTGAACAACTGTCTTGTCACATGATGTATGTCTCTGTAATTAGGCAAGCACTCTTCTACCCACTGAGCCATGGCCCCAGCAATACAGTATTTATTAATGATGAGAAAAAGGTAACTATAACATATATTTGTTAATATAAAGTACAAACAAATACATCCCCAAAAATTAGTCTTCTGTATTTACCTCAAGGAACTATCCAGAAAAGAGAGTCACTTAGCTGTGTAATCTTACACAAGTGTTTGGACTTTCATTGACAGGCTTTGCCTGAACAATTCTGAGATGATTGCTGCATTTAGGGAGGCATGGGAGTGCAAATAAAAAAATTACTTGGGAGTTTGCTTTAACAACTATAAAATTCTCTGTCAGTGTGACATTGCATATCACTGTTGTGACACAGTTGTTTTTTGGTTGGTTGTGATGATGTCTAGTGACAACAACCCAGAGGCCATCCACCTTCCCATCTTCCTTTCATAGATGAAAAAAATAATAAAAGGAAATTAGAATGCTGTGGTGTATTTTTATTACACAAACAAGCAACCTATAACCGATAGAGGACTGGTGTCTAGATAATCTGGCCCTGTGTATATACATAAGTACTATATTACTTCAAAGCTTCTGTATTTGTTTCCGAGATGTTTATAATGAGTGAATAAGGGTATAGTTATCTAAGACTTCTGTCTTTGTTACTTTCCTAGTGCTGTAACAAAACTCATTGGTCAAGGCGATTTGTGAAAGAAAGCATTTAAGCTGAAGGCTCTTAGTTCCCCAGATGGTTAGAGTCTGTGGTCATTGTGGAATGGAGCATGGTAGGCAGGCAGGCAGGCCTGTCACTGGAACAGTGGAGATTCTGTATTGACACAATAACCGTGAGGCAGGGCGAGAGAGCTAACTGGGAATGGCATGCTCTTTTGAAACCTCAAGCCACACTAGTGGCTCCAACAAGGCCATTCCTCCTAACCCTTCCCAAGCAGTTCTACAGACTAGGAATCAAGCATTTGGATATATGAGCCTGTGGGGGCCATCCTTATTCAAACCACCACGATGACGAAGATAACGAAATGGGTTTCATCCTTTATGATATGCTTTGCTTTATTATAAACTTCATCTACTAATTAATTTTTCATGGTGCTTGAGTATCATACACACAAAGTAAATTTTCTGCCATTGATCTACATGTGCAGCCATCTCACATGTTTTAACTCATATGTCTGTTTTCCTTCTTGTTGTATCACCCACACAATATATGCACTCTTGCAACTAAGTGCATGTAGGAGAAAGTGAGAATAAAATGTAAGAAGCCTGGGTCTCAAAGGTAGAAGTAGAACCTACCTGTGAAAGAGCATAGTCATTCTCTCTGATTTTAAATAAAAAGTGATATGCACCACAAAGAACCAAATTTATATATAGAATACTATCAATGAAGTTAAAACTCCATCTGAATTAGTTTCCATTCTGAACCATATGTAGATGGAGTCATATGCATGTTTTGCCACTTAGGCTGCACTGCTTAATTCTTGAAAACATTTATTCCGAGCCTTCGGAAGTCCCTTTAACTCCGGTATTCTTTGAGTTAAGTGAACACATTTGCCTCTTGCCCATTTTATGCATGATTTGTAAAAATTAAACTTAGACTCAGTTATAACTCAACTGCACATACACATTTTTCCCTCAATGTATGAGGCATTTTGACATGCAAAAACTGCACAGATCACTGGCTTCTGAGAGGCAGACTAATTTGAATCTTAGTTTCTAATTACAGTTTTAAAATGCTAGGAAGTGGACGAGAATCATTTCTGAGTATTATTTGCTAAGGTGGGTGGTTTATTTACACTCTCATTTAAAGCTAACAACTTGATAGAAGCACTGAAAATATACCCATCTGAGATTCAATAAAGGAATGTTGTGATTTCTTTTGTTACTAAGATCACTGAATAGAATAGTGAATTAAATAGCACCTTCCCCCCCCCCACAAAAAAAAAGCACACGGGAATGACATTAGGTGTTCAGGTAGAATTATACTATTTAGTGTAAATCTGGGAATAGTTTGGAAGTCATTCAAACCTTCAATGCTCCCAAGACCACATGAAACTCAATTTATAGTTTCAGTGTAAATGGTCTTTCAGAATCTGAACAGTCTTTCAAATTGCCGAAGATATAATTTGAAAATGGAGAATAAAATACATTCAAACCAAGCGCACAACAGCCATTACACTTTATATAAAAAGGCACTGAAAGGTAATGGTGAGAATGTAATGTATAAAGAGAAAGGGAGAGGTTGATCAAATGACATAAATTTGTGTTTGGGTAAGAGGATGGGTTTTATCTATTGCACAGCCTGGTGAATACTGTCAAGAACAATGTACCATGCCTTTAAAAATAGCTAAAACATTTACAGGGCCTAGTCTGGTCCTATGCAGGTTCCCCAGCTGTCAGTCTGGAGTCACTGAGCTTCCACTTGCTCAGGTCAGCTATTTCTGTGGGTTTCCACAAAATGATCTTGACCCCTTTGCTCATATTACTGTTCCCCTCTCTCTTTGACTGGACTCTGGGAGCTCAGCGTAGCTTGGGCAGTCTGTGGGGTCACTGGCAGTGGGACCACGATTTATCCCTAGTGCCTGAACTAACTTTGTGGAGCCCATTCTCTCTGGAGGGATACCTTGATTGGCCTAGATATAGGGAGGAAGGCCTTGGTGCTGCCTCAAAGTGATGTACCGGATGGACTTCATTGATTCCCCATGGGAAGCTTTACCCTCTCTTCCCTGAGGAGTGGATGGGGTAGAAGAGCAAGAGGAGGGAGGGGGAGGGAACTGGGATTGGTATGTAAAATGAGAAAAGATTGTTTTAGAATAAAAAAGATAAAAGAGAAGCTAAAACAGATTTTAAATATTCTTACTACAAAAATGTTAAATATTTGAAATGGCAGAGATGGTATTTTGTTTGTCTGGTTTGTTCTTTCTGTACCATATGTGTACACTGAGATATCGTGTTCTGTTCCCAACATAGACTATTATTTATCAACAAAAAATATCATGATAAGACCCTTAGGATGTCCATCAGTGATTGATGGTATGCAAGAGGTCCTAGGTTCAACCCTCAGCATTTACTTGCCCTCAAATAACATACCTTTAAAAGGGATATATTGTGAGTTATCACTCATTCAGAACAGGCCCTGAACTTTGCTTAAGTGCTAACCTCAGAATTCCTTCCACAGTTGTTTTACTAGGTTTATCTGTAACTTTCTGGATTTTCTTACTAAGTTGGCTACCTTGTCTAGGACCACTGATGATCTAACAAAATATGATTCTAATCTTACTGTGACTTACATAGTCGAAAGATATAATGGCTATTTCTGTGGGAATTTCTAGGATTTTGAGTCTTCCTGGCTAATTCTGCAAGGCAATGGCCATGGCAAGAACAAGGTTGATTATGGAGAATTCAAACGTGCCATGATTGGTGAAATGAATGAATATAGGAAATCGTTTGTTCGTAAGGTAACTCTTAATCGGTCTTAACTATTACTTTTATAAGAGTATTAGATTCATTGTTTAACGCCATTAGTGGGTCAGCAATTAAAACATGTTATATCATTTTTGCTGTAATGCATACTGGGTTTAGTGAGACTTAATGTAAGCAAGCTTATATATGTTTATACAAGTCTATTCAGAATAAAACAAAATCATACATACATACATGTATATATGTGTGTGAGTGTGTGTGTGTCTTAGAAAAGATATGATGAAAGAAAAATAACATTTCAACTTGAATTATCTTCATAAATTATTAGTTTCTGTTAATTACTAGCTATCCAACTATATTGCTATATAAAACTTTGAGCCTCTCTTGCTGTCCCACAGGGCTAGTGGAAAGACTGTACGTGATGGTTATATTAGCATTCATAACTATTCCAGTGTCAGTGCTCAACATATAGTATTTTAAGATGATGGCTAAAAGTGTTTCTGTGGTGTTTATAATATGCATGCTAAGTGTTAAAATGAAAACAGCAAAGGTCATATTAAGTTGGCATTAGAGTCCTGGGGCTGGGGACAGATGATTGGGTGAAGTGTCTCTAGTGCAAATGTAAGGACCAAAGTTCAAATTCTCAGGTTCCATGTAAATCCAGACGTAGTAAAACATGTGTGTAATCCCAGTGTTCTTATGACAGAATGAGGGGCACAGATAGGAAATTCCTTGCATCTCTCAGCTGACTGGCCTGGATATGCCTTAGTTAACAATAAAGAGACCAAGCTGCAATATAAGGACTAACACCCTGCATGTTTATGTTACACACACACACACACACACACACACACACACACACACACACACACACCACATATACACAGATCCCTAATTTGAAAATAAAATATAGATTAATTCAGTTCTAGTAGACATGTTTATAGTATAATTTTGTGTTGCATAGTTTTTCTTTTATGTATGTATTTAATACAATGTATATATTATCATATTTATAAAAAGCTATTCTATGTAGAGTAGGATAAGTAATTATAACAGGTATCAGTCTCAAGTGGAAAAACTACAGCTCTCTTCCTTTACTGACCAAGAGATGTAGTAAAAGCATTAAGTTAGGTAAGTTTATTACCCATCTATAACTTTGTACTTAATTATTCCACGTTGATATGTTTGAGTATCAGACTGGCCTATCAAATTATTTTTCTTTTTTCAAGCACCTGTTTAGTTCATTCCAAATGTCTCATTTACAGTTTGGAAATAATTGACCACATAGCGATGATTTCACAGAGAGAACCCTGTCTTTCTTTAGGTCTTCATGAAACTGGACTTCAACAAAACTGGCGTTGTGTCTTTTATAGACATAAGAAAGTGCTACTGTGCAAAGAAGCATCCGCTTGTGATTTCAGGTAACGACCACATGGCAAACACATGTGATCTCTACCATGCTTATTAATAACAGCACCTTCTTTAAATTACACTGATCTGAAGCACCAGCTGGGACTGTTGAGGAAGGAAATAAATTTTGTTTGAGCCAATGGCTTTAGAGCTATTTTCCCCTTTTTCATTTAAAAATTCTTAGGTGTATTATTTGTACTTACTGATTTCTTTGACAGTTATAATCATGATAGGACTCTCATTTCTCATTTGGAATGGGCAAGGAATTGGAGTTTAATAGAGATTTGGTAAAACCTCTTTTAGTCTCCCTGACAGAATTATTGTATCTTCTGATACAGCTGCTCATCCTTGAAGACTTAAGAAGATTTATGTTTTCTTTATCTAAGGGTGTAATTGTACATATAGTGGCAACTATGTGTCTGTCAGAATCTAGCCAAGCATGACTGGACACACCTATAATCAGCCCTTAGGATGGAGAGGCAAAGAGCATGCAAATGTGAGGTCAGCTTGGGCTACTAGTAAGATTTTGTCTCAAAAACAGGAGGAGGGCATAGGGAATTTCTTAAAGCAATTTTTAAAGAGTAATTTCCTATTATGTTTCCTATTCTTTTGTGTAGTTGATTTATGACTATGCCTTATCACAGTGTTTGGCCATGGGAACTTCCTTAATTTCATTTGTTTTTCTTCAAAAGAGTAAGCCTTGTCACCCATGTAACATATCTTTCAGCCCCTACTGTATGATGTTTTATAGTTGTATACATAATTTGCTGATCGTTTGCAGATGGTTTTCTGACTTGAAAGCTGTATTAGAGTTACTGTAGCTTGCTTTTTTTACTCAACAGTGTATTCTGGAGCTATTTCCATGTAAATCCACATTGAGGCATCTTACTTTCATTTGCCACTTATTATTCTCTTGTTAATCGTCACATTGCAGTGTGTACAGATATTCTTTTAATGGAAGACTTCTAGTTTCTAATTATTTATATGCGTCTAATGAAACATATATTGTTTGTGACTCCTTAGGTTCCCCATTTTCTGATTTCCTGGCATGATAGCAATGCTTAGACTTACTAGAATATTCACATTTCAGATATCAACTGGTACTTCCAAATGCTGTTGCAATGATAGCTAGTTCCACACTAGATTATACTGCAATTTGTTGCAGTTATTTTTATTCACCTCCCTGATCTTACTCCATTTGAATTTCACTGACTAATACAGAGGTGAAATATTTTCATTACTTATTGGATATTCTCTAGTTTTGTTTGTAGACAGGGTCTTGCTGGAAGAGCAGTAAGTATTCTTGACCTCTGACTTAAAATTTTTTTAAAGGCCATTTTAAAGGTAATAGATTACCTTCTGCCATTGTTTTTGCTTTGTTAACACTTTTGCTTATTTTATTTTGGATATTATCTGACCATTTTCTGTAACTTTTAATCTTTAAATCCACTAACTATTATGAATCTTTTCTTTTCTATGCTCTGTGATAAAAGCTTGAGAGAACAAGCTTGAGAGAAAAGCTTGAGAGGGGAACAGTGAGAAAGAGGCAGATCATGAGAGAAATGAATTCTGGTTAATGTTTAAATAAATTAGAGGAAAGTTTGCCACATGACTTTAAATTACTGAAATTATTTCTTAAGATGAATAAATATCCCTTTATCATCATCCATCATTTTGCTGAACTTTTACAGAAAATATTTCACAGTTAGTCCTCTTCCCGCAGGACATTCAATGGAGGAGGAAATCAAATCATCTTTTCTAGAGACATTAAGAGATGCCTGCAGCAAGTCTGATGAAGTTTCATATGGTGAATTTGAAGATTACTATGAAGGCCTAAGTATAGGGATAGCAGACGATGAAGATTTTGTCAGCATCTTACGTACTCCATGGGGGATTTAGTTTTAAATAATGCACAATCTCTTCAGCACCAAGTATTTTATAGAAAACTTGAGTTTTATATAAAATGTGATTAATTTGTAATATATTTTTCTAAGATTATTTAATTTTTTTCCCAAAAGTCTTGGAAGACCTATTTAGAAATAGGTACAGATATGTTTGCTAGCACACATGCATGCTTACCTGTCCAAATGTTTGTAAAGACAGGTCTCTTGTCTTACTCCTTATCCTTTTATTTTAGAAAAATAGTTTAGAAATTAGCCTCAGCAGAAAAGTAACATCCCCATTAAACAATGCGAGGACTTGTATAGAGTAATAAATTTTCCTATCCTTTCTCAATTTTCTTATAACCATTTCCTAAAATATAGTTGCCAGCATTCTCAATTTAATGACTTGGGATTCAGATCAAGGCTGAAAAATGCAACTTGTTTGAAGCACAAAGTTTTAACGTATATACAATAGCAATGTCATAATCAGTATGATTATAGGTGTTTTCCATGCATTATATTTTGAGTGGCTGGCGTTTACCCCTCAGTATTCCTTGAAGGAGACTTTGTCATATATATATTTTTGTTTTCAAAATCACATACTGCTTTCTGTTCATTGGGTGAAATTCCACTGTATTTTTCATTTTAACTGTCATAGTATCTGTATACAAATGTTATATATAAACAATACAATGTAGAAAATATTGGAATGTAGAGATATTTCTTAGACTACTAAATGAAGAATTCAAGGATAATTCAACGATTTTTAAAGACAAAGTGTAAAAGCATTATTTTGTGTCACAAAATGAAGTGGTATTCTAAGTACCTTTTTGTTATAATAAACAGAACATTTTCTTCTAAATATGGTGTGTTTAATGTCTTCCTCTTCTATACACACTCTTTCTAAATTGTCCCTGGATGGACTGTCCTGAGTGTTGGGATTATGGATGTGTAACTTTTACATTGTTGTTAGTTTCTTATTTATACCATCTGTTGTGGATGACCCTGTTTGGACACCATTTGAGGGAGAGGGCGAGAAGACTCAGAACCAACAACTCAGGCACTGGAGTCAGTGAGTAGCAGAGTGTGCTGCAGATTCGTTTATTAAGGAAGTCAGGCCTGCCTTTACACCCCCTCCTAAGGTCCCGTTGGCTCATGCGGCTGACTCTGCTCTATGTCCTTTACTCATTGGTGTCTCTACTCAGGTGTCTCTCTGTCAGCAGTCTCTGGGCATAGAGGCAGGGTTGGCTCAGGGAGAAAGTGCTTGCTGCACACACTCATGCAGGCTGGCGTGGGCACCTGCAGCTTGGGTAGGCTGACTACAGTTTCCAGCTTCGGCCTCATTGTGCCCACCTCAGACAGCATCCAGCATGATGGACCATGCCTGTCTTAGGTTGGCCTGCCTCACAGGTCCTTACCTGTCATTAACTACCAGCTCTGAAAGGATGACATCTCTGGGAAGCACGCCCTGGTGGGAGGAGCACCTCCTAAACTGGTGCCTCTGGGCGTTAAAGTGCCATTGGCCAACAGTTTCATAATTAATATAGCATCTGTGTGTTTATTTGGGGCTGAAGCAGTTGTAGGACCCGGTGGGACAAGAGAAGCCTCCATCCAACAAAATGGCACCCAGTGTGGGGCTTTAACTCATAACCCTGAGATTAAGAGTCTCATGCTCTACCAACTGAATCAGCTAGGCTTTATTATTATTATACTTTTGGCAAATGGCTTGGCTTCTTATTGGCTATCTCTCTCTAAACTATTAAACCATTTCTGTTGATATATGTATTGCCACGAGGCTATGGCTTACCCACAACGCCGCAACCGGCATGTTACTCCTCCTCGGCAGTGCCTCTATTCCCAGCATTCTTCTCGTCCCCTAACCCCACCTGTCTTTCTGCCTGGCCAATCAGTGTTTTATTCATCAACCAATAAGAGAAACATACATACAGAAGGGCAGCCCCCATCAGATTGTGGCTTTGTAGGAGGAAGTGACATGATAGAAAGGTTGGTACACAGAATCCAAGCGTAACGCTTTAAAATGTATATTGAGCCATATAGCAAAAGCCTTGCTGACCACATATTTGACACACAGAGTTAATCATTGCATTGCTCTACTTCTGAGAATAACTGAGTTTAATTATAACTAATCTACATTAAGTATCCAAAATTTTTTTTTTTGTTTTTTGTTTTTTGCCAACGTTTAATAGTTATTTTGATGAATTTTGCTCACTTGGCAAGAGAAACTGCAGAGTCATTAATTTATATTTCTCTCTCTAAGACATAGTCAAGAGTAAGATAAATTACAGCCATGACTGAAGAAGTCAGCCAAACTTTTGTTCTTGCTATCTCCAGATCAGAAACTACCAAGAAAAACTCAATTCCAACTGTCAGTGAATTGCAGTTGCATGCAAATCTGAACCCTTTTCCTGTGTGTGTGTGTGTGTGTGTGTGTATGTGGTGTTTAAGTATGAGTGAATGAATATAGATCTACCTTTAATAGAATAGGAAATTTTTGATAGTTTCTCCTGAAACAAGAAAAAAAAATCTTTCTGACCCTGAAAGCCACAGTCTCACATGCTGCTCCCTGGAAGCAGAGTCCCAGGGAGATCACAGGCTCTCAGCACAAAGCATCTGTGAAGACACAGTGCTTCCAGCTTGTGAGCCCCAGATATGACTCCTGGGTGTCAGGATTTTATCAACCAATTCATCCAATTGTTCATCCAGTGCATACATTTTGAGTAGGATTATGGGCAGACTGTATTCAAGGTTTAAAAAAAAATACCACCATGAACAATGAATACAAATCCCCTGCTTTGGAAAGTGGAAGGAGTCTGTGAACAAATTAAACGAATAAGACAATTTTAGTTGAGCCCTTTGAAGAGGAGACAAAATAAACAGTGTGGGCAGAGTCTGACAGAGGAAGCCTCTCAGAGGAGATAATTCTACTTAACCTAAATCAGGACAATGAGAGGAGAAAGAACATTCTAGGCAGAAGAAACTGGCTAAACAGAATCCCAAAGTGGAAATGATCTTGGTGTGTTCAAGGGGGGAAAAAAGCAATGCTCCTGAACCATAAATAAATGTTCTCCCCATTTATGTGTGTGTGTGTGTGTGTGTGTGTGACTATATGTAAGTGATTCTCTGTGTCTGTGTGTGAGAGAGACTGTGTGTGTGCATGTGATTCTCTCTGTGTATGTATTTGTGTTTCTCTCTCTCGTGTATATATGGGGCATTTGAATAAGAACTAATGGGTAGAAATAGAAATAGAGATAGGCCAGGAGGAGGCAGGGATTGATAAACAAAGCCTTCCATGCCTGGAGAAGAGCTGGGTTTATATTTCAGGTTGAAAGAACAGCAGAGCAGTGCTGTGATTTGATCTTCACCCGTGGACAGACAGTGAAAACTGGAGCATGTGTGGGGCTTTGCACTTGGGATTGAAGGAGACATGTTAAGAGGTGCAGATTATGGTGAGTTGGAAGGATAGGGCTGCAGCTTTAGAAAAGGAAAGATGTGGATATATTATGTGCTTTGGAGAGAGTATCAACAGTACCTGTACGTGGTCTATGGAGACTGGCAAACAGGAAGGAAGCTAGCAGTCACTAGGCTGAACAATTGAATGGGTAGCAGGGGGGACTAGGGAGGAAAAGACTTAGATAAAAATGTGAATGTTGTGTCTTAATTACAATTTTTATGAACCATCTACATGAGAATATCAAATAGGCAGTTGGATTTGCTTGTAAAAAGGAAATAGGCAATACAGAATCACTAGTAAGTAGGTAGCATTTAAAATTTTGAGATTTTTTTTTGTAAAATATCCAAGGATGTGGTATGAAACAACAATATTAAAAATGGTGGCTAGGGTATGAACCCTAGATACATGTATTGGTGTGGTAAAGAGTGGACAGTGCTGTCCTAATTTGCTTTCTGCTGCTGGGTGAAAACAGTGACCTAGAGGAAAGAGTTTATTTCATTTTATACCTGAAGGTAACAATCCACTGAAGGAAATCAGAACAGGAACTCAAGGCAAGAACCTGGAGGCAGGAATGGAAACATACCGTGGGAGAATTCTGCTTACTGGCTTGCTCCCCATGGCTTTCTCAGCTTGTTTTCTTATACAACCCAGGACCACCTGCCTAGCTAGGACCTCCCATATCAACTACTGATAAAGGAAATGGCCCATAGAAATGTCCATAGGCCAATCCGAAGGAGGCAGCTTCTCAACGGAGGTACCATTTCCACAGTTGATTGACTCTGTTTTGTGTCAAGTTGACAAAACCAACACAAATAGTCATTTGAGGCATGGTAGTCCCTACTTACCAAAATTCAGAAGTCGGAGGCAAGAGAAACGCCATGAGTTTGAGGTCTGTATAGTGAGTTCCAGGTCAGCCAGGACTACCAAGCAATACCTTGTTTCAGTAAGGCTTGGGAGGTCTGGTCTAGGGGTGGGAAGGACATTGGGGTGGAATATCAACCAAAAGGAGAAGCTTGGTGGACGAGGAAGTGGGAGGGAAGTCATAGATGCTAATAAATCAATCTGTAACAAGAACGAGAACTTAGAAACTACGTTGGAGAAAGCGAGCACAAAAACACAACCATTGGATCTTGCAGTGCAAACCCGGTGAAGAAAAGCCAGGTGGTCAAGAGTCACAGACAGGATGAAAGGTTAGGGCACGGGCTTCATGCCAGAGGTCCCTCTTGAGTAGATGAACCTTGTGGGTGACCCTGCTCGGACATCCCTTAGGGGACAGTGTGAGAAGACCTAGTACCAATCACTCAGTCACGGGAGTCTGTGAGTAGCAGAGCGTGCTGCAGATTCATTTATTAAGGAAGCCAGGCCTGCCTTTATAGCCCCTCCCAAGGTCCCGTTGGCTCATGCGGCTGACTCTGCTCTATGTCCTTTCCTCATTGGTTTCTTGGGTCAGGTGTCTCTCTGTCAGCAGTCTCTGGGCATAGAGGTAGGCTTGGCGGTTTGGCTCAGGGAGGACGTGCACGCCACACATGCGCATGCTCATGTGGGCTGGCCTGGGCACCAGGGGCAGGGCGATTGAGGCTTGGCTAGGCTGGCCGAAGTTTCTCCTACATAGCCACCTTTTTTTTTTTTTTTTTTTTTTTTTTTTTCTTAATGTGGCGTAGTGGGAGTTGAAGTTCTAGCTTCGGCCTTGTCCCCACTGCAGAGAGCATCCAGCATGATGGACCAATACTGTCATAGGTTGGCCTGCCTTACAGGTCCTTAACCCATCATTGACTATGGAAGGATGACGTCTCTGGGAAGTACACTTGGGTGGGAGGCACACCTGTCAATCTGATACCTCAGGAGTTGAGCCAGGCCCAAGAGACCTCCCAGCACGTTCTGGGTGTTGAAGTGCTATGAGGACCTAGAGTGTGGAAATACACTGTAGAAAACTCTTAAAGAGAACGACCAGAAATAAGACAATCAAAGCGTAGGAAAAAGGGGGTCACTCCTGAGCAG